GACGCGAGAGGATGGATGTGTTGAGTTGCTTGGGTAACAGAAACTTCACACACACACAACTGAGAAAGAAAAACCTGTAAGTCCGAAATCCAAAATGGCCAAAGTGACTTCAAAGTTTTCAAGACGCTATCCTGAAAAGGTTCGTCTGGCGGCTGCACCTCGAAGTAAATAATGCCGTAACTTGTCTGCCTCTCCAGAGCAGGGCTCGCCCCGCTGACAGTGGCTGCACAAAACCCCTCCTGTACCGAGCAGCGGAAACTCCTAATGAGATTAGTTGGTGTGTGTGCAGACATTACTTAGCAATGACTAAAGGGGCTCTCTCTTCCTGCAGCAGCCAGTGGAAAATTCAGGGAACTTTTTCCCCCTGCAGCAGCAGAATCCCTTTAACCCTCTCCCCAGCCAACTCCAAAAACAACTCAGCCTCCCCCCAGTCCTCCCCTCCTGGCTGGGGTGCTGGGGGTGGGTGGGGGAGCAGTTAAAGACCGGCCAGGGGCTTCCAAGAGCGGGAGGATGGGAGGGGGCCGGCGGGGAAGGGGCGGGGGACCCCTCCAACACTACAAAGGAAACTGTAAAAGGCACAAATACATAAACCTGAGCAGGAGCAAACCACAGTTTCTTTGTGAGCTCCTCCAGTGAGTCATTTTCAAGATGCTGTCTGCTGCCAGTTTCAAAGCGGAAGCGCATGGCAATTAGTCTTGCAGTTTCCAGACAAGCCAGAAACTCTCCCGACACTCGTTTTATTTTTTTTTTTTCCGAAAAAGCCCCTTTTGCAGTTTCTGAAATAACATTTCTTGCCCCCACCCCCACCCCCACTCGCCGCCCAACTGCAGCTTGTCCTCAGGGTGATTCAGTTCAGAAAACATAACAAAACCGGGACCTCTTATTTTTCTTTTTTAACCCTCCGAAATTTTAATTCTAAAAAGTTACAGTAGCATTACAGGCCAACACTTCGCTGGAGCTGAACAGCCCCTTCCTAAAGAGCTGGGGGCGCCAAGGCCATCTCCTGCCGGGTCCTTCTCCCAAACCAAGTCCGGTAAAGACCCCGTCGGCTTTTAAAGGTCCGGCCCCGCGTGCGCCTGGGGCGGTGACCCGGCCGGGGGTCACCTGCCGAGCGAGGGGACGCAGCCCCCAGCCCCGCATCTTCGCTCCACGCGCCCCCCGCTGCCCTCTCTCCGGCCCCGACTCCCTCCCAGACTCCGAGCATCGCCGCCACCCCGAAGGGAGCCCCAGCTGGCAGGTCAGCAGTGGTCCAGCCTCCAGGCACGCAGCCTGCTCCAGTCACCGTTCCTCCCAGGGACCCTAAGTCTCACCGTCCCCTACGCCCCGTGCGCGTCTCTCTTCTGGGGTCGCAGCGCAGCCCCAGGGCGGGGTGCTGCCAGCGCAGGGTCGCCGCAGCCCCCGGACGGGTGCGCAGACGAAGGGAGCCCCAGCTGGCAGGTCAGCAGTGGTCCAGCCTCCAGGCACGCAGCCTGCTCCAGTCACCGTTCCTCCCAGGGACCCTAAGTCTCACCGTCCCCTACGCCCCGTGCGCGTCTCTCTTCTGGGGTCGCAGCGCAGCCCCAGGGCGGGGTGCTGCCAGCGCAGGGTCGCCGCAGCCCCCGGACGGGTGCGCAGACGCGGG